CTTTCTCTCTCGACGTCTTATCTAAATTAGAAATTAATTATAAAATAAAACATTTCTATATGAAAACGCTTTTTTACTATTTAATACACTTTTAGGTCAATAAAAATAACAGCACAAAAATCATTGAATAAATACAACGATGATAAGAAAACTTAATTGTAGTGTATATTTATATAAATACATAGAGTATTATAATCGTAAATATTTAGAGCAATACTTTGCATATGAATTGAAATGTAATTCAAAGACAATAATTGGTTCACAAAAGAGATTCACGAAAAAAATTATTGTTAAGAAAAAATACTTAACCATAACCATTCATAACCATTAATAAAACTACAAAATAACAACTTTGCGCAAACATGCAATAAGTTTTCAAAAGTATAAGTATAGTTTAGGAAAATATTTCTCTTAAATAAGTCATCAAAAGTAAGTTTAATTTTAGTAAATGTTTTCTATAGTAAAGGATATGAGAGAAAATATTTTTGTTAATAGTTATAATGAGAGCTAATAATGACATCAAAAGTAAAAATCATGTCTTGTATTCAATTTCCTACAGCTGTATAAACGAGACAAAAAAGTTTTGTTTTTGCGTTTGAAAAATAAAAACTAACAATTAATTATAAATATCATACATAAAATTAAATTTAATTCTATATTTAAACAGTCTGGCGAATATTGAAAAGTTATAATTAAATTATAATCAGCGAATATATTAATAACCTAGTACAGACTAATATGCATAGCATTAGAAAACTCTTTGGTAATAAACTTAATGATTAAAGCAAACAAATTATAAAAATTATATTTTCAAACAAAAATTATGAATTTCTTAGACAACCAGAAGTTAGTGTCTAACGGATATAAGATATTACGACAATAATTGTAAAACACATTTTGTATTGAATGAATGGATCGTTGAATCGTTGAGTTCAGTGCTATGCCTTGAAAAGGCATTGAATTCCTGTGTCAGTGAATGGATGTGTGAAATGTATTGACTATTGAATGCAATGCTATGCAATTCGAGGAGTCTACTATATTGAAGAGCCATAGAGTCTATGAGAGACTCGCATAAGGCTTATACACAGTAATAGACGTGTGCTTCCTATGCGTGCAAATCGGTACAATAGACTACCAGTGCTGTCACCACTGCTTTGCTTGTGTTTACGTCAGGCTTGTCTACCTGTCCACTGTTTAACATGGCCGGGTCCAAGTTTCAATACGATGAGAGCGGGGGCACATTCTTCTACTTCTTGCTGTCCTTTCTGGCACTGGTGGTCATCCCCAGCACGTACTACGGGTGGCCTAAACGGCAGAGCAAAGGTATGACCACATCATACACACACATGCCTTTCCCCCCATAGTCTATCACTCTATGACGTGTCCCACCAATCACTCAACCATTGATCGCGTTTAGTGGTCACTGGTTTGTCTCCCAAAGTGTTACAAAGGATTCAATTGGGGTTTAGGTTGCCATCCATTGATTGGTGTGTTTGCGGTGTCATTGAGTGATAGCTAATTGTTTGGTTGGCGTTTGCATTGATTAACCATTGATTGTGTCTTTCAGATGATAATAAGAGGGACCGAAAGCAGTGTCACTGCGAGCAATGCGCTCAGAAGTCGAGTTACCTCAGCAATCGGGAACCGTTCCTCAAAGTCAAGCAAAGAATCATGTATTAAGACATTTGTTGCATTGTTTTTCAATGTCAACACCACTTGTAATGTTTGATCACTTAATTGATCCACACTTTTAATGTACAGAAAACTGTTTCTAATCCTGGGATGGATGGCACTGTTCGCGTGCGCCTACAAAGTGGCTCATCTGACCAACGATTACATCAATTGGGATCCGTTCGAGATCTTACAGATTGATCCGGTATTCAATCAGTAGACGCTGTCGTGGAAACTGTGTCTTATTCTCATGTGATCGTAGGGTTCGTCGACGGCGGAGATCAAGAAGGCGTACAGACGTCTGAGTCTTGTCTACCATCCGGACAAAGAGACCGGAGATGAGCGTAAGTTCTTGAAGATAGCGAAGGCCTACGCGGCGCTCACCGACGAGGAGGCGCGCAAGAACTGGGAGACGTACGGCAATCCCGACGGCCCCGGCGCCATGTCTTTCGGTATAGCGCTTCCCTCTTGGATTGTCGAGAAGGAGAACTCGTTTCTGGTGCTCGGCTTATATGCGTTGGTATTCATGATCGCGTTGCCGGTGGCGGTCGGCATCTGGTGGTACCGGTCCGTCAAGTATGGCGGCGATCAGGTCCTGCTCGACACGACTCAACTCTACTACTATTTCATCCATAAGACACCGCATATGCCGCTGAAGCGAGTGCTAATGGTGTTGGCGTCGAGTCTGGAGTTTGAGCGCAACCACAATAGTGAAGTGATTGAGCGGCCGTCGGATAACGAAGAAGTGCCACATCTGATGAAACTGTTGCCCAATTTGGGTGAGAAGAACAAGGAGAGGCCGCTATGTTTCACCTATAGTATCAAAGCCCGGGCCCTACTGCACGCCCACCTGAGCCGTATGCAACTGCCGCCCCACTCCCTAGACATCGACAAACTCTATGTGGTCGGGAAGTGTCCGTATCTGCTCCAGGAGTTTGTGCAATGCGTGTCTCAGCTGACAATGTTAGCGCTGGCCGGTCGTATCGCCCGTACACCCAATTTAGATACGTTAGAGCACACCATGAAGTTAAGCGCACTGGTGGTACAGGCGCTGTGGGACTCGAAGAACTCGCTCCTGCAGTTGCCGCACGTGTCCGAAGACATGTTAAGGCATTTCACGACACGTAAGAGGAATGTGCGGAATATCCGTCAGTTGGCGTCCATGAAGTCGGATGAGAGGCGCTCTATGTTAAGGAACTTAAGTGATGAACAATACGAGGATGTAATGAATGTGATCTCGAAGATGCCTTTACTCGAGATCGATGTCAGATCTGAAGTGCTGGACGACGAAGACGCCGGTATTATCACCGCCGGAGCCATCGTCACCGTCACTGTTAGTCTTTGCCGACAAAATATGTCGGTTTTGTTCGACAAAGAGTTTATCGAAGAGAAGAGTTGTATCGATAATGAAGAGGAAACGGAAGATAAGGAAAACCTGGCGATCGGAGAGGCGGGCGATAAGATGCAGACCAATGAGACGGCCCTCAAGAAGCCTAAAGTGTGGGAAAAACAAACGAAAGGCAAGAAGAAAGGATCCAAAAGCGCCAAAACCAAGAAAACGCCCAAAACTGCGGCCATCAAAAAGATGGCTCAAAACCAGAGCCAACAACCGAAAGAGACCACAGAAGCCAATAATCAAGTGATTGCCGTCAAGAAGAGTAAGACGAAAGAGTCGGACGGAGAGAGCAATGATGGGAGTGAGAGGGGATCGGATGATGAGTCGGATGTCGAGAATTCCGAGCGAACTGTGAGTAAAGCCACTGAAGAGGTCAGCGAACACGAAGAAGAAGAGGATAATTGGGATGACTTCCAGAAGAGTGTAACCAAAAAGAAGGAGCCATTGGAGGGCAAGTCAAAGATGTCGCACTCAGTCCACTGTCCCTACTTTCCCGATGATAAGCAGGAGTACTGGTGGATATACCTGTCCGATAAGAAACGGCACGCCTTGATATCGGCGCCGTATCTGATGACAAATCTGGTCGACAAAGAGGAAGTGGAGCTCAAGTTCACAGCGCCTCAAAAGCCCGGCCAATACACGTATTCGGTGATCGTTCGCAGCGACTCTTATGTCGACTTTGATATCTCGAAGACGATTAAGGTTTGTATTGATTTGTGTGGTGTTGTCGTCCTTTTCCATCTATTGTCGTATTAATTGATGTTTGCTTTGAATGAATAGCTGGACGTAAAGGAAGCCCCCAAACAGACGGAAAGCCATCCGCAATGGGATATCTCCGAGGATGAGGAAGAGGTGAATAAGGATGAGGACAGTGCTGTCGAAGACTCGGATTTGGTGAACAGTACGGATGAAAGTGATGATGAATTAGACGATTAAATGACACATTTTATGTTGTTTTCTATTTTTGCTAACATTTTCACTGATTTGAGTCCAAAAATTAATTTAATTTAAATTTAAATTAATTAATTTATATATAATTTTTATAATTTGTTTATCTCTCTAATCGATTCATTCATATATTTTTCGCATACGTTTACAAAATATACTGTATTTTACGGGATCTCTCGACTTCTGTTTGCACTCAAAACCCAATTTGTTTTATCCATTCAACGAATTTCAGTGACATTTTAATTGAGAGTTAAATTTGACAAATCATTACCGAATATAACATATTATTATTGAGAAATATTTAGATGTTTTATAAATTAAATTAAAAATATATATTCAAAGCTATTGGTCTTAATGTGTGTTCACTCGTGAAGAATAATTGCCACTAATTTCGACAAATACACAAAGTATAAAGAATTTGAATGTCTTTTACAAAAGCACTATAAATGGCGAGTATGTCATCACCAGCCGAAGTGACCGCACTTTTTGGTCTTCCGAATCCACAGTCGAGTAGTCGCCACTTGATGAGGAATATCCACGGAATCGATGCCCGGATAGAACTTCTGGGTCTCGTCGGGCTCTCTGAACCGCTCTTTGGCCGCCAGATCCCAGTAGTCCTCGCGCTCCGAGTGCTTCACCACATCATAGCCGGCGTCGAACTCCTTGTGGGCCAACGCGCGGAAGCGGCGCCTGTATCTCAACTCTTCGAGCTTCTCGATCCGGTCGGACACCACTTTAAAGCGGCGGCGCGCGAACCGCCGCTCCCGCCACTCGCGCTGTCGGCCCACAATCGCCAGGCGCTCCCAATACTCTTTGGTGTTGGGGTCCAACTCGTGCATCGGCGGCGGATAGTTAAGTCTTAGGGACCAAATCCAATCCGGGTATTCCTCGTCGGCTTTCAACTTGATTTCCGGGCCCTCCTGGAAGTAGTTGGCGCCGCAGCAGTGGGTCACCAGTTTCTCCGCGTCCTGCTCCACCGGCAGTCGGAAGCGCCGTTTGCCGATGGGTTGGGCGCCGGATGCCGATGGGGTGGACGCGGAGGAGGAGGCGGCCGCCAAACCACGGCTGCACTCACGGGTCACACGAGGGACCAAATGGTGGCTAAATAATAGACCGGTTTTGTGGGGTCTGACAATACGGGTCAACGCTGTGCCGATTGACATGACTTTATAATTGCAGTGAAATGTGCGGAAAAGTTTTAAAACTTTGTTTTAATTGCCATTAAATGAGATTTAAATTCAATACATTTTTAACAACATAGCATACAGTACTGCACTAATAAATAGCGTTACACCAAAACAACAGCAAACACTGCATTGAGGACCCTATGCGTGGAGATTAGTGTTAAACTTATGCGCAAACCTTTACAATAGCATTGAATTTACTCCCTTTGCAAGCGTTATGGTGTTTGTGGTGTAAATATATGGCTAAAGTGTTGTGACATGTGCTTAGCATGTGAGTGAAGAGTGACCACAAATCCATTGATTTAGTGACCAATTGGTGAGACAATGTCTGCCATCAAAGTGTTTCACCGCAAGACTAAGAAGGGGTCGATCGTGAAAGTGGTTCGCGAGCACTACCTCCGCGAAGACATCCATTGCGGCCGCCAATCATGTCATGATTGCCAACCATTCAAACAATCAACGGATAGTCCGTTCGCGCCGAAGGCCTACTTGAGTGACAGTCCGCGCGCAGGGATCAGCCAATTGTGTGCCGACAGACACTACGTGGTGCCCGACTTTGGTGTCCTCCACAGCCAACTGGATGTGATAATTGATCCCTACTTTGGCTGCGATATAATTCTGATGCAAACCGTTTGGGACGAGATTAAGAGGAATATCACTGTCTTCTCGAAGATCAAGCAACTGATGGCCGAAAAGCGGTTCTTCGTATTCCTCAACGAATATAATAAACAAACTTTTAGTGAAAGAGTTTTCGGCGAAACTATAGCCCAATATAAGCAACGATTAGTGATTACCGCCGCTGAGTGGCTCCAAAGACATCTCAATAATGGCATAAAAATTGTTTTAATCTTTAATTACAATCAACTGCAGAAGGATTTAAAGACCGTTCAGTGCTTTCCGATCACTGAATACGTTAAGAGTCTTAAAGATAGCGTTAATTTGATGGATAAATTGGCGGATCTTTCGACGTCCGGAGAGTACGCCAAAGATATTCGGCTCATCTTTGATGAACACTTGAGTCTCGATGCCATTCAATCGGGCGTCAAATCGGGGAAATATTTTCAGGGAAAGTATTACACGAATCGATTGAATTACTTGGAAGGAGTGGTAATGATTACAGTGAACGGCGAAGAACTCAATGTCTTAATTCAGGGCACACTTCATATCAATCGGGCCGTCAGTGACGATATCGTTGCCATTGAATTGTTGCCGAAAAGCGAGTGGAAGTCGAGATCAGACGTCGTGTTAGATGCTAACGAAGACATGGAAGATAATGGCGATAATAAAGAGGACAGAGAAGAGGAAGTTATCTTCAAGAAAGAGGACAACTCGACCGCAACGAAGACACCGATGGGTCGAGTGGTGGCCGTAATTAAGAGGAATTGGCGACAGTATTGCGGAGTACTTCGGGCGCGCAATGAGAATATCAACACATCTTCGGCTTCCAATCGGTATCTGTTTGTTCCGATAGACCGCAAGATTCCGTTCATCCGAATAGAAACGCGTCAATACGAGCACTTGAAGGGCCAGAGGATTGTGGTGGCTATCGACTCGTGGCCCAGGGATTCAAAGTATCCAAAAGGACATTATGTGAGAAGTGTTGGCGCCGTCGGAACCAAAGAAACGGAAAC